GGATGATTATGTTCTGTGATTTCACTTTTCTGGTGAAATGGCTTTATGATCTTCCTTTCATTTGGCTAAAGCTTAATGAATAATCTTCTATCATTGTTTTCTGTCTTCATTTTTTTGATGTTTTGGACTATGTTATAGTATACCAGTCAACCAGTTTGTGCACTGAATTCCATATTCTGCAAATGGCATTCTATCAAAAACTAAAAACAAAACAAAAAAGAAAAAAAACTTCAAATGACTAGGTTTAATGCATTAATCTTTTTCCAACCACAGTATATTCTCAACAAGTCAAAAAGAAATATGGTAGCAAGTGGCAATGGCTTTTGTTCTTTTTGATTTTGAAGTCTCGGTAGCAACAATAAAGCTTGCGGATACTTTACAAGTAGATCTACATTTGGTGCATTTTACATGATATTGAATAAGATTTAAGTTTAAAAAAGCTATTTTTGTAACTATATTCTTTAGCAAGAGGATTTACTGTTTTGATTAAGAGACAAAACTAAGTCTTAGTAAATAATGATATTACTAATAATTTTAAGTTCCATAGACATCGAAACAATTATTGGGTAAAAATTAATGCTAGAATAATTGGGTGACATATGGTGCCACTTCTGAAAAGAAAAATCTTAAATGCCCAATTTGATATAAAACAATTAGTAGTATATGTTAAGTTCTACTGTTTTATACAGAAAGGACATAGTACTTTTTTGGATGTTCATTTCATTTAACCTTCATGGAATGAAAAACCATGTAGTTTTTTAAAGCACTGTGATAAATGTATGTGCCAGACTTGTATGAGCATGTAGGAATTAATTGCCAGCTGTCTACCTGCAAATGCAGAAATTGTTACAAAGATTAGTGTGTGGTGTGTTTTTTAATGGCATCAAATTCAGTAGAAAATCTCCATGAAAAAGTAACACTGTATGTGTCCCTCCCCTCTTATTTGTAGGACAGTGATTTTTATATCAGGATATAAAAATCCACAGGGGTGGGGGCAGCAAGACTTTAAGACTTTAAGACTTATTTGTTCCTTAATAAATTCTTAACATTTATAATCCAGGTATTTCCATGTATGGTTAAAAACTCCTTTTAAATTTACTCCGGTAAAATAGTTATGTGGGTTGTTAGTTTTAGGTTTGTTCCATATGCCATTCTTTTCTCTTTAAATGCTTCTATTAGGACGATTTTGAAAATATTGGGAAGATAATCTTTGGCACTGTGTGTGTCACCCAACCAGTTTATTGCACATGACTTCATAATTGCCAAGTCTCTGCTCTTTCGTCATTGGCCAGCTCTGCTATGGTGAATAGTCTCCCTTAGTTCTGTGCCGTTGCTCACAGTGGTTTTCCTCTTGTTCCCCTATTGCTCCTTTTCAGGATGTTTTTGTTAAGGGATCTTTTCTTTCTACCCACACGTGAAATGTTTTTTCCTGGCATTCCTTCAATATGTGATGATTCTGTCTATGTTCCTTCCTTATTGAAAACTCATGACTGTACCTCATAGGCTACAAGGGTGGCAAACTCAGATGCCTACATGGACAATTAATGTAAATAAACGAAGATCTGGGTATTTAAAAAAAAAAACACAAAAAACCCAGCATAGAAAGTAGATGGAGATTTTTAAACTAGAAAGAGCATGTCCTTTCTAAAGCTATTTCCCTTTGGTTTCACCCTTGCTCTGGAGGAATGGAGGCTCAGTGTTCATTCCTTCATTAACCAAACACTGATATGGTGTTTACTATGTGCTCGGCACGTAGGTGCTGGGGATAAGACAGTAAATTAAAACAAAGATAGCTCCTCTCCTGGAGCTGACACCAATTCTGGAGCCCTCATGGTCACACTAGGGATAATGATTTTACTATTACCGGATTTTCAAATTTAGACAAAAGCCAGAAATCCAGATATTTTTAGTGAAATTCCACTTTTTTAAATGCTGTGTTAAATTTTTGAAGAAACATACTTCCTGTTAAAACTGTGCTTACCTCTTTGCAACATTAGCCTACAAAATAATATTCAAACATCTGATTCTGAAATACTTTCTCACCTACACCTATTTTTCCAGCTTGATCTCCATTTACTTCTTTGTTTCCCGTCCTCTATTCACAACTGGCCATGCCTGGCCCCTTCTTTCGTCTATTACATCTTATGTATTGTACTTCTCGCTAGAATGCATTTCCATTTCCCCCCTTTCCAGCCCTAGTCAATCACTACTCATTGACAGCCTAAATGTTTCTTTGTAAACTGACCTTAATCTCACTGTATAGAATTACTTCTACTCTGCCAGTATTCCACAGTATTTCCTACAGTCTCTCATTAGAGCACTCACCAAAATCTTTTATAGACTCTGAGCCCAAAGAAGCTATAATTTCATCTTTGTATCCTGAGAGTCTAGCACAGCACTTTACACCAAGTCAGTGCTTCCTATATACTTGTCGAATGATTGACCAGGCCTGAAATCTGGCTCTCTGCAGACTAGCAGTGGTGGAAACCTGCCTCAGATAGGCATGCAACGAACAGATACTCTAAATAGAAGCTTTGTTTCACAAGTAAGCAATCTTGATATAAAAATCACCCTTTGATTTAAAATGGTAGTTACCAACTTCTGTACCAGGTATGTCTGAAATACGTACTGAGGTCTATTCTACCCAACTGCTCTTTTACCCCTGACCCCACTCCTCCCTGATCCCACCACACACATACAGCACAGTTCCTGGAATGGCTGTATTGACTGGCTAATGCATTTGTAATTTATAACCCCAGACTTGTCATATGACATAGCAGAAATAACCTCTCCCCTTCATCTTTGAGTTTTCTTATTTATTGCTTTCAGACTCCCAAGGTTATATGAAAAGGTAGGTGTGGGGTGGGGGGAACAATGCAGGGTAGAGTTGAGGAGCAAACTTTACTGGGTGGCAGCTGAGTGTCAACCAAGCTTTCGGCACTACGCATGTGTTGTTCCATTATTCCTTCCTTAAAAGGAATGTAGATATCCCTATGAGTTAGGTAGTGTTATCCTCAATTTCAGGACCAAGAAAATGAGTCTGAAACAGGTGAAGTTACATGCCACAGGAGAATTCTCGATACTTCTTTAGGACAAAGATTTATAAGTAGAAATGGTTCATTGCAAACATTGTCCTTTTTTAAACAGTTTTTTCTTTTGTAAGTTCAATACTGCACAAAATCCATTATTTTTAATTGTATGGTAGGTACTGAAATTAGTCTTTTTAAAAGAAAATTTACCAATAGTTTTCAGCCATGTCAGGGTTCCCTTTTAACAAAAATTCTGCAATGTCTTGTTTAATATTCTGAAGAACAATTCATATTTATGTGTGCAGTCATTTTAAAAAGAAATATAATGGCCTACATGCTATATAAATTGATATAACAGTAATTTATATTAAAATAATTCATTTAAATACATAAATACACATGCACAATTATACTAGAAAAGGAAGTAAATATTTGCATCTTCTTAGTAGAATCATTGTGATAATGACAGCTATTAATATAAACTAATATGGATATGTTTAATCATTTTAACTTTGAATCAAATAGTTATAAGCAGTGTACCTGTTACTGACATGTCTTTCCAAAATAGTAAGTAATTCTTGGAAAAGTTCCAAAGCATTGAAACTTTCTTCTAGTTATTTGATAGTTGAATTTCTGGAAAATTAGCTTAAATTAAAACTGTGAAACATATCTGTGTTTATAAGTAAGACAATATTATATTCCAGACTAAGATGAACAATACAGAGAATCATGTATGTGAATGTCCAGTGAAGTCCTTGGAAAGCATGGAGAACATGGGGCTAATACTCATTTTGGGGACTTTCCGTTGTTGAGCATCCATGGACCTTGCCTGCCATGTTTCATATGCCCTCCTGATCCCCAGCCATTGAGACAACCTAAAATGCCTGTACATTTTAGGCATCTGAAACATTCTCCAAAAGAGCAATACTTCTCTCAGTGATTACCACTGCTCTAAACCTTCCAAACCAGTTAGCATTTGTTTTAGAAAATTGATCCTTTATTTCTTATGTTTAAGATCTCTGTGTAGTGCAAAATAAAATGTAAGTATGTAAAAACTGATTCCTTTCTTCAGTGATTTAGCAGCCTAAGTAAGAAGATGGGTCACTTATGTGTGCATATATATGTATATTTACTATTGAAAATATGTTTTTTATCAAAAATAGATAACAGTGAGCTGAGAGCATCCAGAAAGGGCTCACAGAGCAGTAGAGTACAAAGTGAGATTTGAAAGATGTGTCTATAACAGCAATTTTCAACCAGTGTGTGCAGCAAGAATTTTTAAAACATGCAATGCCTGACTATTTAGTCAGGGGCATTGAACTCTTTTCCCTTAGAGTGTCCTATTAAAAAATGACAACAGCCAACACAACAATAGCTGTCTGGTGGATGAATCAAAGTTATACTTACCTTTTGTCAGATCAGCAAAACATATATTTTTTGGTGTGGCGCAGAATTTTAGTAATTAGTTCATGTGCACCATGAGATGAAAAGGGTTGATAGTTGCTGGTCTATAATTAAATGGTTCTGGAGAAGCTTGCATCACCGATGAGTAAAGGGAGCCCAGGAACCCGACTGGCATGAAAGAGTTAGTCAGAAAGTAATAGGCAGTAATCACAGGAATTAAGATTGGAGTAAGGCTATCATGTCCAAATGGAAATGAAACTGAATAATTCATGAATTGAATGTCAGAGATGGTTACTTTATACAAAATATTGAATGTTTTGAGATAGCTATTTAATGAATTTGGAGTTCATTAATAGTAAAGTGAGAGAACTGAGAATAAAAGACTCGTATTCAGTTGGCATGCATTTTCAGTGTATCTCTCTTTTTTTGGAATAGTTGATTTTATTTACCCAGTTAAATCTGGGATGAACTCATAGCTATGGCCAAAAGATTGACTGCACCCCAGACATGAATTGCCAGAATGACAGGTCATGACTTTGTGTCTCTCTTCTCTTTTCTTCTTTGCAGGTATGATTTTGTAGAAGTTGAGGACCCCAGTGATGGAACTGTATTAGGGCGCTGGTGTGGTTCTGGGACTGTGCCAGGAAAACAGATTTCTAAAGGAAATCAAATCAGGATAAGATTTGTATCTGATGAATATTTCCCTTCTGAACCGGGGTTCTGCATCCACTACAACATTGTCATGCCAGTAAGTACCACTTAGAGATCCGCTTATTCAATTAGGTCAGTTATTTGCTTCCTTTTTCCCCCCTTTAAACAGAAGAATCAGGCAAAACAAAAACATTTCTGTAGCTTGATTTTTGAAAAAATAAATGTCACTCTAGTTATCACACTTTGAATTTCAAAACAGATCATTATCCATGTTAAATAATCTTATCAGTAAATGAAATAAAATATGTTTTGTGCAACATTTAGAAGACCATAACAAACCCATCACCACCAAACCCACTCACTGGTATTTCAGTGTTGAGAAATTACATAGGGTATTTGGAATTAGTGTATTTATTCTATTATCACTTAGGGATCACCATCCAAATTTGGACAATAGAAAGTCTTCCTGAATTAATTTTAAATATGGTCATATTAAATAATAAAATATGTTTTAGTTTTTTAGTGTTTTTGTGACCTTTTCTTATATGATAATCTTTTGCATTTTGCTAAATGATACTCTTGCTTTAAAGATGTAAAATTTCAAGCTTATACAGTTTCTGACGGTTCTCATTTTTAAATTCATATATATTTTTTGATATGAATACACTGCAAAGGTAGAAAGCCTGCACTATCTGACATTAATGCCATTTTAATAAAATTTATATCTAGAATTGCCTAAAAGTCCATCTTTTATGTGATATTTTACTTTTTTCTTCCCATTAGGGTGGCAACATAGTTTTCTGCACACACCAATATTTCTGTTTTAGTTGTGTTGTTTACAAAAATGTACATAACATACTTCTTTTCATCTTATTCTAGAGTAAACTTATTAGATATAATTATTTTTCCAAATCAATGTTTTAGTAAAATGGGTTTTAAAAAGTAGTTAGCTCAGTTTTTCTACTTATCTTAATATTTATTTTGATTGAATACTATTTATGACCTTTTGTGCTCCCCCCATAGCAAAAAAGGTTTTGAAATTCTCACTGTAATTTAAAAAATCTATTTATTCTGATTATAATTGTTGTATTTTTAGTTGCTTCGTGATTGCTTGTACCCTTTATTTTACGTATTATTTCAAACATTTGTATCTATTTGTTTCACTGCAACAGAAATATTGAAAATCCTTTTTATTTTTATCACATTCTGCTTATAATAGTAATTCAGAAGTACTTACACAAATATGATGTCATCTAGTATAACTTTTAAATATGATCAATTATAGTGTGGTGATTGCAGAGGGACAGGGGTGGGTGAAAATGGAAAAAGGCATAGAGTAGATAAATGGTGATGGAAAAGATAAAATTAAATAAATAAAAATTGGTACATTGGGAACACAACATGGTGTGGGCTACATGCATTAGCGTGTGGATTCTTGGATATAAATGCTATGCATTCAGCCAGCTAGCAATTCATGAGAATTAATGAGTCAAACCAGAAAATATGGAATCAATACCTAACTTTATATATTATAATTATATTGCAATGTTAGCAAAGATGTCCCTTTTTGATTGCCCAAACTCAGGTCTGTGGAATATTATTTTATTTTTATTTTTTAAATATATTTTTATTGATTTCAGAGAGATGAAAGGATAGGTAGAGAGAGAGAGAGATAGAAACATCAATGATGAGAGAGTGATTGATCAGCTGCCTCCTGCACACCCCCGACTGGGGATCGAGCCCGCAACCCGGGCATGTGCCCTGACCGGGAATCGAACCCCGATCGCCTGGATCCTAGGTTGACACTCAACCGCTGAGCCATGCCTGGCCTGCTGTGGAATATTATTTAAGCAACTAAGAAATTTAGGTATTGTTTAATATAGAACCAAAAAGGCAACAGTAAAACCCAAACTGAAGTTTAAAAATAATAATTTATTCACTTATCAACAGTAGAGTCATTTATTTTGTACAACTGAAGTTAAGGGAAATATCTCTAAAATATATGCTATAAATTACATTGTGAGTCTTGATCAATGTCCTTACATAGAGTACTTAAAATATTCATATTTCTATGCCATAATGAAATACTTTTGCCAGGAATGTAGATTTTCTACCATTTCCTTTGTTAATTTCCAAAACTTTTCTTAATATTTTTATTTAAATTTAATAATTTAAATTATAAAAGTAGTCATAGTAGACAAAGACTTAAAAAACACACACACTATTTGTAGGAAATACTTTGATAATGTGATTATTTGTTTGAATAAAGCCATTAAAAATCTTTTTAAAACATTTTCACAGTATCCTGCTTCACAAAATTTATGTGAAGGTTTACTGAAATCTAAGATGGCCTTGAGAGTCATTGCTATAGTTGTAGAGTCCACATTTTCAGTTTGGGTTTTAGCACATCTAATGCCCTTAAATATTCAAATAAAAACAATTAAATTTTACTATAAAACATAATGGTAGGTCTTGTATCACAGCAAATATTTAATTTACCCAAAACCTGTAATAAAAAGAAATTTGAAACTGAGATTTTTGTATTTTAAATAAACTAGTCTTTTCCCATTATATTAGTTTAAGTGTGTAAAAGTAACAATCTATTATCATGTTATAGAATAAGACATGAAAACTAAAAACTAAAATGTATATATGCTGACACCAAAGGTGGTTCTTATCTGATTTTATGACCACGTGGATTATCTGGTATATAATCCAAGGAGTTGTATGAATTAAATAAAATATATAAAGATAAAAACACAGTCATTTAAAGTGCCTCCATCAGCTCTAGGCACAATGTAGGTTCTGAATAAATGCTGGAATGTTAAGTTGATCATACAACTCACTCACCCCAGCTTAACTCACAGAAGATTCACTGACACTGTTAATCCGTAAGTGTATGCCAGAGTCATGGGCCTTGAGATGAGAGAAAGAACCACAAGGATCTGGGGCAAGCACTACCCATCCTCCAGTAAGCAGGGCCCTGCCACCTGGTTTTCACCTGTTACCAGAGATTTACTGAGACTAACACCAGACACTGCCTACATCTGAGAGACTTTAGGTGAAACATCTATCACTGATAATGTCATTAAAATTAAATTCAGTACATTTGTAAATAGTTATTCAAATTGTTTGATAAATTGTAAATATGGACTTTGGTGGGCTGAGAATTGACATTCTCTTGGCATCTACGGAACCATGTTTTGCATGACAACTAAGTTGACTTGTGATGGGCTGCAGAAAATGGAGAAATAGCATAGGGGACCTTATATTAATGGAAAATAGTAGGCTCTGGACTGGAAAAAAACAGAGAACATGACAACTAGGGTCCTACATTGCCTACTAAGTGTGACTTGGTGATTTTAAATTGCCAGATTGCTTTCTGGGGTGATTATTATATATGAATTTTACAATCTCATGAGCTTTCATTCTTTGGAGTTTAAACTGACGTTGACAGTTTATCTGCCATTTCTTCACCTATCCTTTGTCTTGGTTCCATGTATCAATCTCTCCTCCCACACAACCACAGCCAGTCTACATTCAATAGCTGCCCACAGAAAGAACAAGATTTGATGGGTGAAAATTTGAAAAGTAATTATGCTTTCAAGCCTTGCAAGGTGTTTTGAGTTACCACTGTGTATTGCTAAATGACGTTCCTTCCTCCCCCCCACTCCTCCCAATGTTATTACTAGAGGGGCAGCAATCCATCAATCTTATCTGTGTATCGATGAATGAAAGCCTAAGGAAAGAAAGTTTGCCTTTTTGAGAAGAGATTTAAAAGTTCTTGTGTCATTTGCTCAGGGGCAAGTGCCCTTCCAAGCCCCCTCCCTCTACCCATCATCTCTGATACCTTTGATACTTTTTTTTTTGTTTTGTTAAGGATGAACTTCATACTTAGCACACCCAGTTCCCCAGAGGCAATGGTCTCAATGCAAACCCATCACTGAAAAATAGGACATTAGGGGCCACTGGCCACAATGGTTTCTTAACTGTAATGATAAAAATGATATTAACCAAAGTCTTTAGCTGACTATTAACTTCCTACTTTAGGTTTGTTATCAAATGGCTAGTACAATGCTGGACACATTGCAGCTGTTCATTAATATCTCATAGATAATCTGTTGTTCTCCTTACAATTGTCTAAACCCAAGTGGAGCTACACTAACTACTCATTTACTATGTTACCTTTGTTGCTGTTGCACAATACTGATGATGCATAAACTAAAAAATTGAAGAATCACATATTCTCCTGGTCCTGATATATTAAGCTATATTACCAAGAACACAATCTTGCCCTACTTAAAGAACTGAACTTTTTTCTTTTTTAATTTTGTTTTGTTTTGTTTGGATGATGAGTGGACCATCCAGATATCTAGGCTACTTAAAGAAATTTTAGTACATCCTTATGACATTATAACTATTAATGTGTATAATCATCTTTACCTGCTTTTTATAATTTACTGAATACTTTGCATCTATTCATACATAGAAAAAAGACTTTGAGTTTAGTCACTTTTTTTCCTGGGATAATTATGGAGAAAGTTAATTTTAATATTTCTTATATTTTACAAGTAAGTAAAATAACTGCAGCCTTCTTTGGGAGCATGAATGTGTATTTGATTCTAGTCAGCCTTTAAGGCTCTGTGGTTCTGATTACCATACATTAGTTAAAATTCTCAGAAACAGTTTTTGCTGCGCATGTTGCCATCAGAAGTTACATTCACCTTCTTAAAATGATTTACTCACTTTTTCCCCCTAAACTAATGAATGAAAGCATATAGGTAAATATGGGGTTACTTATTATTTTGAAAAAAAAAGTGACACTGATCTAATTTTGAGAGATTGTTTATATATTTTATATATAGATATAATTTCCTCTGTAATGTTATAATTTCAGTATCATTTCCTTAATTACCAAGACATAAATAAAATGCATCCTTCAATTTTACTATTTTAGGTTGATGTTATAGGCTAAGTTTTATTTTAGAAAAAAACTTTAACATATGATGTTTACATGAAATTATAACTAGTATTTTGTAGCTTAAAAATAGTGCTAGATTTACTACATAAATTAAAAATTTTAGCATTTTAAAGCTA